AGCGCTACGGGACCAACCCGGCAGCAGCTGAATCAGAGACGCCTGGGGCAGAGCGGGACTATCGTAAGGGGGGGCTATGAGGGGTCTGGGCTGGCATCCCCTCCCACCCCTCTCCAGACCCCTCATAGCCCCCCCTTCTGATAGTCCGGCATATTTGATAATCCGGCACCCCCTGGGTCCTAAAGGTGCCGGATTATCGGAAGTTTACTGTACATAACTTTATTCCTTTGCAGGGCTTGCAACAGACTTTGCTGGTCCCTGGGCACTGTGTGTGGGTGGGTGGGAGCTAGACTCCAGCCCCTGGAAGAAATGGAACTAACTTCCTCCAGTGAGCCCTCAGCACCGCCTGAACCATGCCACATGGGGCTCCGGTGACAATTTATAGGGCCTGGGATTCCAGCTGCTGCTGCAGTAACAGCAGTTGCAGCCTGGAGCCCTGGGCCCTTTAAATTTTTATGCCCAGGAGCAACTTGCCACCTTTGCCCTCCCCCATCCTCTCCGTTGGTGGCCCTACCCCTTAGCTGCATACACCACAACTTTAAAAATGTGAATAGGAAAGTAATATGGGACTTGATTAGACACATGAAAACTCTCTCACTCGTGAAAGTTCTCTACAGTCATTCCTGAGCTTTGAAACATGAAAGGTTCAAACCTCTTCACTTATAGTACATTTACACTACAGAGAAGATCGAAGCTGCCACTGTTGATCTTCCAGGTTTTGAATTAACGGATCTAGTGAAGACACGCTAATTCAAACTGAGAGGGGTACTCTGGTCCATGCCGGTAGTCCTGCTTCCACAAAGAGTAAGGGAAGTCAAAAGGAGAGTGTTCTCACTTTGACATCCTGCAGCATGGACAGCGCCAAAAGTCAAGTTAAGGTACTTCATCTATGCAATTAACGTAGCTGAAGTTGTGTAACTTAATTCAAACTTATTCCATACTCGTAGCTTATTCCAGAAAAGCGGCTGATTTTCCGGAATAAGTGGCCCAGTGTAGACCTAGCCGTAGGGTTTATAGGCCTATTACAGGAGTGTGCAGGTGCGGTGCTGTGGTCTGTAATGTTCAGGAGAGCAGACTAGATGATCATAATGATCCATTCTTGCCTTAAAATGTAAGTCTATCACTGAACATATAAATTACTTGTTTACTGATGCTCTCTAATCAATGTCCCTCTTCTGCTACTTAAGGTAAAGGAGACAACTGAACTACATATGGCCACCGTGGCTCTTTCTAGACCACTGCTCTCATAAAAAGCTACTACTATGCAAGGAAACATGCTGCTCACAGAGATTTCCAAGTCTTACTTTCCAAATATGAAACTGGTTTGTTTGAAAGGCATTACTTAATGGCAAATAGTTTATGAAAATAAAATTCTTAATGAGCCTGTAGTGTCATACAAGCAGCATTTTTTTAAGGGCCGTGAGTGTATTTTGTTTTAAAAAAAAGCAAGATGAGTACCCATTAGTCAAGATTTTTATAGTGTAACTAAAAAAGGAAAATCTCACATTAGAAAAAAAAATTTCCTTTAAAACTACAAGATACTCAATTTTTGCGGTATTAATGGAGGATTGTTTTCAAATAAATGCCTAGTGTTTTCCTGACAAGAGGCTACAGTTTTCTCACACTAGGATTCTTCAAATCAGTTCTTTACTTCCCTCAATTCCAACTCTTCTGTACCATCCTGCTGCTTTTACATACTACTATGTAACAATCCCCTTCTATTACACCACTATTAAAGCATTCCCTGCCTTCCTCTTCTTAATCTCCACCTCTTAAAAATTATCCTTTATGCGTGAAGCTACTTATTTCAACATCTGAGTGAGGCTGAACTTCCGGAGAGGAAGGGGAGGAAAAGCTATCAACTCTGTTTGGTTAAAATAAGTTTTACTTCTACAGTAGAAGCGTAAGTTAGCTTGAGGAGCTGTTTGTTTCTTCTAAACAGAAGAAATAGTGAATGAACATTAAAAGTAAAGCAAT